GATACTGATAGAACTACGGGCAATAATCCTACCACTTGGTTTCTCAACAAAGTAGTGGTTACGCCAGCGCCTGCGCGGACATGCGAGGAGAGAGAACAAATTTGTACGCCATCCAGCTGAGACAGAATATAATCGATACTTATAGCTACTAGTTGCACGAAATCACATGAATTGCACGAGACGTCTAAATACAATTCATGGGACAGCTTAGTCAACAAAGGTAATCAAATTCGCAGTTATTTTTGTTTAACGAGTAGTATTCTTAATGTAAAATTACATTAGGCAAAAGTGTGACGTCCTTTGGTACTTTACACTTTAGCTGTTATGTCTTGTTTGTTACACATATGAAAATGTAATATTGTAATTAATAAGATAAAACATAAAATGGGATATATTGCATAACGACATTATTGAGAAATAAAAGATATACTTATTAATACCATAGAATCAGCTATATCACTACATTGATTATTCATTATAATTTGATTATTTGTTATCTGGAGCTTTTATGTCATATACACCTAGATTTTGTTATGTCGCTACTGTTCTGAGTATATTTAAATATGCAAATGATGTTTTCATGACCTGAAACAATTATAGTTGATAGATCTATCTTAATGATCTTTGCTCATTTTTTATGTAATAATTTTTAGATCTTTCTAGGCGCATGTATTAGAATATTAAAAAATTATAAGCAATATAAATATCCAATATAATAAACATTAAAACATAAGTAGTTAAAAGTTTATATATAAAATTACATGTATTATATAATATATTTAAAAGTACATACACAAAAGTAGTAAGATTGAAAAAAAAATTTTATGGAAGTTTACAAAGACAAATCTGCATCAAAATTTCATTTATTAAAAAATGTTAATATTGTACATTTTTAGATAAACTTACATCTCCAAAAGTTGCAATAGATAGTTGAATCATTTTTCCGGCAGTTATTTTAATAACGGCATTTGATCTTGAAATTATTAGAATTAGGTCGATTGCAATTTTATGATGTAATCGATACCACTCTGTCATGTATGCCATTTCTCCTATTTTTTGACACTATATAAACTCTAATTTGTGATCTATGTTTTTACGTCATAATTTTATTTTAGACTATTATAATAAAAGAGAAAAAAATTTATATACAGATATGTATATACATATATACGATGCAACTACCTGGTCTGTGAGGATTTCAGCAATATAACAAAATATAAAAATGTTGCATGACATGGCTATGAATATAGTAAAGTACGTAAGCAAATTTTTAGTATCGTGCAATTTCCATTCCTATAAATACATATAATTATCCTATAAATAAATACACGCACACACACACACA